TATTTAATAATAATAAGAGAGAGAAATATTTTTACCCATTACAGGTACATTGCACTGCAATATTTTTAATAAAATAATATTTTAAAGAAATAATAAATGAACTGTGTAAAATAGCTTGAGAATAAGTAGATAAAAATAATCATATTTTAGTAAGAAACAAGTAGTCTCGCGGACTGAGTGCAGGTGCTGCGAATACGACGGAGGCGTCTCGAGTTCGAATCCCGCTATCATCTCTCTAGGATTTTTTCAGGTCCGGTCTCTTTTAATGGAATTTATTGGTTGATTGGCGAGCTGAACCGGGCTTCCAAAAATTAATTCAAGTGAAATCTCTCTTAGCTGTGTGAAAGCGGCAAATCGCGAAAAATTTTTTTTATTGAAGTTTTAGATGTATTTAACTTAATAAACTATTTTGTTCCGTCTCACGCTTAACGTAAACACTATGCAAACTTTCAGAAACGCTTTATACAAACGCCTTTCAAACGCTGTAGCGTTGCAATTTTTGCTCTATGAATTCTCTACTGATTGTTTCAAAACTTTCAACGAATTTCCGCAAAACGCTCATACAAACGTCAAATAAACGCTTATAAAACTTCTCATTTTCGTCAGGGAGTCAAGAGATCACATCAAAAATATTAGACAAAACAAACACATGTTTTCAAATAAAGTCGCAAATGACCTCGACGGAACAGTTATCAACGATGTTTACCAACATGAACATTTCGTCAATAGAATCTTCTCTGTCTGTTGTAGAAAAAACAAATTTGTCGGAAAATTTATCACGTCCCGAAGCCGAGTATTTCGAACAACTACTATGTCGAGAAAGAGACGAGCTTCAAAAACTTTGTGAAAAGTGGACGAAAATTCAGAGCGACGATATTAAAGAAGAAGATATTTGTTGCCGAATTAATCAAGCAGTAGGACAAACGACTATGTTAATCGAAGAGAAGTTTAAACAGTTTCACAATATGATCAAACATTCGAAAGGTAGCGGTAGATTACTGATAACTTCTTCGGACTTGCATGGATTATGGGATAGCATGTACATAAAAATTAAGGATTGTTATTCGCGATTTGCATATCTGAAAAAGCTTCGCGCCGCACGTTGGCGGGAAGAGTTATCTCCCGTAAAATCTGTCGAGTCTAGAAACAAAACGACCAAGAAGCAAGCTACGTCGAGAAAGCGAAGATCGCGATCATTACCTTCGACTTGTGGCAACAAAACAACAGCTCAAGATGACAAAACGTGCGAGCAGATTGATAACGCTACTTATATGTGCACATCTTTTGTGACTAATAAGAGGACTACAAGTGTTTTCGAAATAAACAATTCCAAGAAGTGCGACGAAAAAGAATCTGCAAATCAGCAAGAATCTGAAAATAAGACGAGAATGTACACATCAACGCCGTTCGGCGATCGTACAATTAAGTCAAGTAATCTGCACGCTCCATTTGTAACGATGAAAGTAAATCAGTTGTATAAAAAATCAATTCAAATACTTGATGTGACCGATTCGTCTTGCTCTTGGAATACCACGGTAATCGAAAATACAATAATTGAAAAAGACAATACTCTTGCGTTAAATGTAAACAAAATCGAAGAACCGCAAGTGAAAAAAAAAAAATAAATCTTGAAAAAAAAAATCTCTAAAAGAGAAGGAAAGAGAAATTTTCCTTTCCTTAGGAATCCGAACTAAATTGCGCTTAAAGATAAGTTTAAACAAAATAAATAAAAATACGTCGAAGTAAATGTAATACAAATGTAAAACATTATTAGATCAAAACAAATATTTTCTCGACATTAATTCTATTTTACCAATGTGAAAAATTAGTCTGGTAATTTTCTTAAAATATACTGTAACGCTGTGTCGTATATATTTAATATTATTAGTTTTTAATATAGATTATTATTTTAATTTATATACAGTCAAACTCCGGTAACTCGAAAACCTCTGTAAGAAAAAAATTTTATTCACTTCCTTCTGCTCCGCGGAAAAGAAAAAACGCACACAATGGTCTAGTTTCCACCGAAACCCTCAATTCGGTTTCACTTCGGTACGGATTAAATTTAGTGTTTCGTTTCCATTGGAAGTAGAGTACTTATAGATCGAAGCGGAAGCGAAATCAGCGCAATTTGACAGGTTTCCATCGACTTAAATCTGATTCTACGTCGCATTAGGTGTGAATTAATGCTTCGGTGGAAACTAGATCAATGATTCAGACATTTTACTCACACTACGGATTAGGATTGAGATTGGATTGCAATTTGGCCAATCAGAGAGAAGATCACTAAACTTAATATTGGTTTTCTTTTTTCTAATTGGTCAAATTTCAATCTAATCTCAATCCCAATCCGTAGTGTGACATAGGCTTTAAGAGACTCTCCATTGTAGACGGCTCTTAATACTCCTATATTGCTAGTACGGTGCCGACCTGAAGCTCACCGTTAAGAGCCGTCTACAATGGAGAGTTGTAGGCCGTAATAGTAAGAGATTGACCAATCACAGACAAAGTGCAGAAGAATAATCGATTGTGATTTGTCAGTTTCTTACTGTTACAGTCTAAAACTCTCCATTGTAGACGACCCTTTACGGTGCAGACAATATAGTAGCTTCTCTCTCCAGCTGCTTTGTGCGCATGCAGTGAACATTCAAGCACGCTTGCGCATTTCTCTTTCTCGCGTTCTTTTTCTCACTTTCGAATGCTTTGTCTCGCTCGCACTCACTTGGTAGATGCGCCTGCGCATAATGACGCTCGACCATCTATGCCCATATTTGGACTTTGTGCGTCTCCCTTTCTCGGGCCTCGTGCCTCTCATTGCGAAGATACGCGACTGTCGCGACTAGCAATATAGGAGTATTACATATATGACCAAACCAAACCTGGTTATATTTTATGCAAATTTTCCTTTTCTTCTACGTTTTGGCATTTTAAAAAATCAAGAGGTAATATATTTGTTTTCCAAAATGATTTATGATAAGGCGAGATCAACTTTGTTTTAGTGATTAATTTCAGGGAGGAAACATAACCTTCAACCAACCGAATAAACATATGTATATAAAGTAAAGTATCGAAGATTGGAAGCTTCAGAATGGCAGATGTAAGGGATATCTTGGATATCGAAGTGCCGACGACTACAGAATTGACAAAGGAATCGATACTTGGCAATGACAAAAAAAATCGTAAACGGTATGATTACAACAAAGTGCCAAAACGTCCCGAAGGTATGCACCGTGAGGTGTTCGCGCTTCTCTGCAAGGACAACAACGACGTACCGCCCTTGTTTCCGACGGACACCGCAAAGGGGTACAAACAGGTTCGTGCTAAACTTGGCATGAAAAAGGTAAGACCATGGAAGTGGACACCATTCACTAATCCAGCGCGCACGGACGGTGCTGTTTTTCATCACTGGCGTCGTGTTGCCGACGCCGGAAAAGAATATCCCTTTGCCAAATTCAATAAGAAAGTTCCTATTCCCACATACACGAACGCAGAATATGTTCAACATTTGGTTAACTCCAATTGGACACGGGCAGAGACTGACCATTTGTTTGATCTATGCAGGAGATTTGATCTCAGATTCATTGTTATTAAAGACAGATGGGATAATGACAAATTTCCTAACAGATCTGTAGAAGACTTGAAAGAAAGGTAAGTGTATGCTTTTAGTTAATGTTAATGATCCATGCAGACAGATATGCTTCTTTAAATATATTTATGATTATAAATAAATGCACAGGTACTATCAGGTATGTGCTGCGTTAACGCGAACAAAATCCCATACTGACAAGGTATATATTTTTGATGCGGAACATGAGAAGCGCAGAAAGGAACAACTCAAAAAGTTGTTTGAGCGTACTCCTGAACAAGTGGAAGAAGAACAAACCCTACTCTCTGAACTGCGAAAGATTGAACAAAGGAAAAAAGAAAGAGACAGAAAAACACAAGATTTGCAAAAGTTGATTACGGCGGCTGATCATCAAGCGGATCCGAGAAAGAACGAGAGAAAGTCTTCCAAAAAGAATAGCAGCTCTTCTAGGAACAGACCTAATAAAACTGATACTTCTCATGTATGTTAATTAGTGTTCTGTAAAGATTCCTAAAGATTAATTTTTTTAAAATAATGTCTATAAATTTATTTATTAATGAATTTAGGCGGTTGAATCAGCTGGAATTAAATTTCCTGATTTTAAAAATAGCGGCGTTAGTCTTCGTTCTCAAAGAATCAAATTACCGAGTAGTCTCGGTCAAAAGAAGATGAAAGGCATCGAACAAATGTTAAATGAATTGAAATTAGGTAAGAATGCATAAATATCCAATTTTTTTTTTACTGTAGTTTCTAGTGAAATTTTAAGGAAAACAGAGAGAAAACTGTTATACATTTGTAGAATTGAATCCACCACCAACGGAACAAATATGTCAACAGTTTAACGAGTTACGTAGTGATATAGTTTTACATTACGAATTAAGAAGCGCTTTATCAACGTGTGATTACGAATTACAATCTTTGAGGCACCAATACGAAGCGCTAGCACCGGGGAAGGTGATTCTCAACGCGATACTACAAATGCAAATATAACATATTCTCGTATATAATATATCAATTTTGAAACTCTGTGTCTTCTTTCAGACTTTAACAATTCCAGCGGCACTATTACCAAAAACAGAGCCAGAAGTCAAAACGGATATTATCGATGTTGTGGGATCACCCACTATGCCCAGTATTACTCATTAATTTAAAACACTATTTATACAACATAGGAATTAATCAAATTTATTCTGTAAATATACTGCTCGGAAAAACGATTTTTTTTTTATTTCCCACTGCTGCAAAAAAAAAATCCACGAAACTTTTTATTTCTTTAATGTCTTAAAACGAATTGTTCGCTCACTCTTACAAGTTGCGACGTCGATCTCGGCGTCGTTCGCAGCGAAAATCGGTTTTTCTGTCACGTTTATTCACAAACGACTACTTTTATTTCATGCCGTTTGCTGCCAAGCAGCCGAAAAGATTTTATAGCCTTTCCCGAGAAAATAAACATTCTGCTGAAATTCTGTTTAAATGACACATTCCGATCCGAAATCGCGTACCATAATGCGCTTATATTATATGAAGCAATTTTTTATACATACTCTGTAAAGAAATAAACGATATATAATTTAATACGATTAAATTCCCGGCCGTTATATATCTGAGAACTAAACATATTAATAAATAACATTGGTGGGTAAAGTAAGGGAAAAAAAATAAGAGAGAAAAATGTTACTTATATATCTGTGTATTTTATATTGTCGACAAAAAGTAACAATGTACGGTCAAACCGTATAATTTATCTACAACAATCTACAATAGATTACAATATGTTTTGTTTTTTTTTTTGTTTTTTTTTTTTTAAGGTTTTCTTGAAGTAGGTGGCTAGGAGGAGAAGGGGGAAATGTAAGATCGCGGAGAGGGGAAAGGGGGGAGAGGAGTGTTGACGGTAAAGGTGTGAAAGGTGTTAGATGGTCATCGATGCAGGCCTTTCTTCGTTCGTGCTCCGTTACTCGCAATACAAGTTGACTGTTTTTTTTTTTTTTTATGCTATATAATAATAAGTTACTCGGTATATAGTTCGCTCTCTAGCCGTACTTGGTACGGAATAATGCATACAATCTGCGATAACAATCGATAATACCAGCGGCCGCTGTCCCGCCTGTTTTCATTCAGCTGTGTGTGTCGCGAGGGGGACTCTTTCGGTCGGAGGGTCACATGAGGATTGTTGTGAGAGACGGTGCAATTCATTTGCAGGATATATCCGTGTACAATACTACACACAAATACATTCGCGTCTTCGCGCATGTATGAAATGACACTCCGATCGCTGTCATCCCGGCGGTGGCACGCGATTAGCCTTTTACGCTTTTTTTTTTACGGTCGCTTACACGTCTATTCTCGCCACGAAGACTTATAATCTTAATCGAGATATCCGAAGCAGCGGCTAACTGTTAAGTTGTATCGCGCGTCCGAAACAAGATTACAGTTGCGAGCTACAACAATATTTTTTTACGTTTTGAAATCTTATAAAAATTTACACGCTTTTCTCTCTCTCTCTCTCTCTCTCTCTCTCTCTCTCTCTCTCTTTCTTTCTCTACATTTTGTTCTAGCTTATCTATTAATAAGTAGTAAACGCTATAAATTTAAATGCATATGTAACATTACATTATTGATTTGCGATATTTCTCGCGCATTCTACGTACGTTATCCTTGGGTGTGTACAGAGTTATATTTAGAATGTCTTTTCAAAATTGCGTTTTTTTAAGGGATACTACTCAAGAGTTAGGGCTGCCTCGCGTAGAATTGCTTATTATGTAGCCATTGACAAGTATGAAATTGAACGTGACGGTGCGCAACCGTTTTTTTTTTTTTTTTTGAAAAAGAGGTGCCGCTGTCTTGTCTCATTCAATTTTTCTTGAAATAAGAAACACAGAAAATACTAACTGGTAAACAATTAATTGTCAACGCACGGAACGTAAATATATATATATGACAGAACGGAAAGTCGCCTCCTAATAGGAACGTTTATATTATTTATTTTATATACACATATATATCGGACACAGTCAAGTAATCATAAAAGAGAAATCGATTCGAAGTTAGATCGAGAAAAATAAAACACATCTGATTTTATATTATTCGTCGCTTAACGATCCTGTCCCGCAGGCATAATATGAAAACTCGAACGAAAATATTCTTTTCCGTTTATAATATCGCGCAACTTTCATTAATAACAACAATAACCATCTCTTGCTTGCTCTTTACGTGTTCTATAATGACAATTACATATTTTACGCATCAATTACACATGTATATACAATGGCAAAAATGAAAGGAGCGCTCTCTTTTCCCTTTTTTTTTTTTTTTTATTTTATTTTATATCTTTCTCCACAGCAAGAGATGTAAAGATCGATGTGCGAAGATTTTCTCGAAGATTCGAGCACAGACGTGCTTCAGATCTGACATTTGTTTTTTTTTGTTTTTTTACGCCATCAATTCATTAGAAAGCATCGTTTGACGCTATCGAGCCTTTTTCTGTCTCGTTTCGAGCGATTAACATGCCGCAGTACAATAATGGATATACGCGTATATAGCAGTAATGTGTCGTTAATTACGATCGTAGCATAATGATACTAATCGCTTGCAGTTACAGCGTGTGCATGCAGAAAATAGAGCGCTGCTGAATCCATTGCGAATAGAATTTTTCTTTTATTTGTTCCTGCAATCTAATTTGCGAATCATATAATTAGATAAATAACTATAGAGATATAAGTATTTGTCGAGAGGGAATAATTAAAAGAATCAATCAACCTCATTTTTTTTTTGTTATGTCGGGTTTATAGTTTATATATCAATCATCCTCAATTCGGAACGTTATTATACGCGCATAATAAACGTTCGCTTTGCTTATTCAAACAGCTTAGAAGTAGCAACTTTAATAATTGCAATTGTTTTTATACTCTGATAAAAGTCATCTCGTGTAATCATAATGAGTATTAACAACAACAACAACAACAACAACGATAAGAATAATTGTAGTAACGTAAAAGAGAATTTTTTTTTTGTTTACGACAAAACGGAGCGATAGAGAGCGATATAATTTTGCACTGAGATTTCTTACTGTAATAAGTATGGTTTTTTTTTTTTTTTTTTATCTTCTCAGAAATTTCATAGAACATGTCACGTTCTAACAAAAAAATATAGCCAAATCGGTGTAATATGTGATGAAAAGAGAAAAAATTATCGAATTATAATAATTATCTATAAAGTTTGAAACAAAGTTATACTGCGAAAAAAGCATCTGCGACGAGTTAAAAAAAAAAAACAAGAGTCGGAAAAAGAATCTAAACTATAAGAGTGTGTGTACGTGTGTGTGTGTGTGTGTGTGTGTGTGTATCGCAGTACTTTTTATATAATAAATTTTCGAGCATAGAGTCAGTTATAAGGGCTCGATCGTTGATTAGTGTATTAGTTTTTGTTTTTATTCTTCTTGAAGTTTTTTTTTGTATTGAATAAGTACGGGATAGATAGGAAATGTAAACTCACATTTGTTACTTGATTTATTGTCGACTGTGTATCAACAAATACTTGCGAATTGGATCGAAGAATTGAAACACGCGCGCAACCAGCTTGTATTCGCTGTATTATTCAGCACTCATAAAAGCGAGAGGAAAATAGAAACCTCAAAGAATCGTTAGCGCATGATTCTCTAAGTGCGTATCGTTTTATCGCAATGTTTTTTTCCGCAGTAAACTTGTTTTTTAATAATCGGTAATCCTGGCTGCTTTTCATTATCATGTACGCAATTGCAATTAAATACGTAGCGGGGTGAAAATTTCTCTCCGGATGTGTGTGTGTGAGTAACTCTATAACAATCGTTTATGTTACTTGGAGTTATTATTTTTTCATAATTTGGTTGTGTTATTTTTTTTTTTTTTTTTTTTTTTTCAATCGCTATGTTTTGCTGCACAGTATGCAATTGCAATTAAATACGTAGCGGGGTGAAAATTTCTCTCCGGATGAGTAACTCTATAACAATCGTTTGTGTTACTTGGAGTAATTATTTTTTATAATTTGGTTGTGTTATTTTTTTTATTTTTTTCAATCGCTATGTTTTGCCGCACGATGTGACGTTTTAAGATCCAAGTGAAGAAATGACGCGCGGTGCAAAAATGCACTTTCGTGAGAGAAGATCGCGCGATAAGTACTTCTGCCGTTTACTTGTCGCGGCATTTTAAAGAAGTGAATCACACACGCTTCAAGAAGATACACAGTCTCCTTTAAAAGTATATAGAGCACATTGTAAGTGAAATTTTGTTCTCTATCGCAAGTACTCCGTAGGAACGCGTTGCCAGAACGGCAAAAATGGAGGAACGAGCGAGTAACTCACTGTAATGTGAAGAGTTGGTGCAAACTTCCACGCAACAAGCCACGTATGACAAATATATGTTATTATTATTGTTATAGTAAAAGAGCGTTTTATCCGCAAATATATCATAATCTTATTGAGATTAAATCAAACAAAGATTTTTAACGAACAAAATATTGCACGGCATCGTTGTTTTAAACGCAACAAAAATAAAAATTCGTCAATAACTGTATTTTAAGCAAACACACACAAATCGATTCGAATACCGTTTGTTTTTCAACTTGTATATGTCGCAGAATTTTCCAATTTTTATTTTATCAATTTATATTAAAGTATGTGTCAAAGCGATGTCACGGATTTAACTGATTTGTTAGTATATCAACCAGTTTTTTTTCTGTGTTCCATAACTGACTTTTCTCGCGACGAAAGCAAAGAGGAAAAAAAGGAACGAAAATTGCGGAAAAAAAAATTGTGGAGAGAAAGCATCGCGATTGATGAATAATTTAATTTGAAACAATATATATATACATAGCGTTTTAAATGTAGTGTTTTTAGTTAAAAGTGTACGCGCGTTTTTTATCTCAATCTTTTGCTCGTCACATTCGCGCGTATCTTTTTTGAGTGCGTTAGCTTCAAACGATCCTGCAACTTCGATCCAAAAACATCTTTCCCTTCTGCTTGTGTTTATATTGTTTTTTTTTTTTGCTTTTTTTTGTATAACATGAGAATCGTAGCTTATTTTTTTTTGTTAAAAGACATCCCTACTCAACATGGCTACGATAATGCGTAATGGATATGTGCGCAAGTGCGTGTGACGAGTTCAGCCCAAGGTGGTAAAGAGACGGGGGGGGAGGGGGGAGTCTTGCATTTAGAATGTGAGGGGAAAGGAAGAGGAAAAAGATGAAGGAAGAAAAAAGGGATTCTCGCGAGAAAGTGATAAAAGAGGTTAAAGGTATATATCCGCGCGTATACGCGCACGCACGCGCACGTACGCACGTGCGCACATAGGCACACGTTTTTTTTTTTTTAAGTGTACGTATAGAGTTCTGTATATATAATAATATATCAATCATTGATGTAAGTAACTAGTTTCTTTGAGTATACATATATATATATATATATGTATATATATACACATAGATATATGTACAGAACATATACATATATATGTGTGAATATATATTTTGCTATTATTTAGTAATAATTAGTAAATGCGCAATCACATACACACTTCTGCTTAGATTTCACATTCACTCTTTAAAGTCGCACGG